GTGTGTGTGTGTGTGTGTGTGTGTGTGTGTGTGTGTGTGTGTGTGTGTGTGCGTGCATGTGTGTTGGGGGAGGATGGGCGAGAGGCACTAAGCTCCCCAGGGAAACAATTTTTGTTGCGTAAAGTGTTATAGCCTGCTACACATAGACTTTTTTTTAAAATCCAGGATAATAGATCTGTAACTTTGTGAAGCATTAATTGTCCATAAACTATTTCCTAGGAAGTAGTTTTCACAACAATGTCAACAGAAAACGTGGCTAATTTGTCATTGTATTTCCTCATGCTTCTTTGATAGTTGCGTAAGTTTTCTACGTGGACAGTCCCTCGGGACTCACCGTCAGAAGAGACGACAAACTCAAAGATGGTCTCCTCCCCTTGTAATTTTGGATACTTGAGTTTCGACTTGTGTTTCATCATGAACATCTGTTGGAAAAACCATAAGATCCCGTGAGTAACATGACATGGTCTTGAAAATTGTTTTTCTGGGACGACACGTGTCTGTCCACCTTTTCAGAAGAGGTGGTTGAAAATGAGGAAAAAGGGGGGGGGGTGTAAAGCGATAGACACTTGTACAAAAGCATAAAGCTGGTTCTACAGACATAGAACAATCTACATAATATTTTCTGGAAAACGTCCGTCTTGACAGACACTACTTAAACATTCCACGCCAAAAACATAGATTCTTGAGGGGACTCAGAATGGAAAAATGTGCACTGTTATCCAAAATAATCCTTGTGAGTGTTTACTCACTGAAGGAGCTGACAGCTCAGGTCCTGCCGTATTCATTTAGAAAGCACTTTTCCCATCTTTGCAGAGTTTAGTTTAGTTTTAGTCAGAGTTTTACGACATTTGCAATACAAATAAATGGTATTAATGGCAAAGATTAAAGGTGCTACTGAGAGTAACATACAAAGAAAAGAAGAAGGAAAGAAAAAGATAATAGATGTTTGACAGGAAAGGAGGAGCTATCCGCACCAGAGCGCTCACAAAACACTCACTACCTCTTTTTGTTTTTGGGTTGTTGTTGTTGGGGGGGTTTTTGTGTGTTTAATTTTAATTTTTTTTAATTTTTTTTTT